AGCTGCTGCTCCGGAGCAAACCTGGAGCTTGGGAGCACTGGGGTGGTGGGCACAGCCAGCTGCAGGCCACTGGCCCAGAGGGAGCATTTCCCTGCAGACTGCTCTGCTCTCTGGTTCCTCTGGGCTGGCAGCGATGCTCCTGCTGCTGAGTGATGGGGTGAGAGTGTCCCAGAGGCTGCACCTCCTGTCTCCTTCTCTGCAGGCTCCCAGCGAGTACGAGACCAGCCCTGACCAGCTCTTCTACCGCATTGCCCACCTGAACCGCGGGCAGCAGTACATGCTCTGGGTGGCTGCTGTCACCTCCGCCGGCCGCGGCAACATCAGCGAGAAGGTCACCATCGAGCCTGCAGGGAAAGGTAAGGCAAAGCTGCCAGGGCTTGGGGGATTCAGCCCAGCTCTGCTGTGCCCTGCCCGAGGGGTGGTTGGGCAGCCCCACAGCCTGCAGGGAAGGGATGGCTAGGGTGACCTCGAGGCAGAGGAGGTGCAGCTCTCAGGTCTCGTTACACATTGGGGGGCCTGCACGCGGGGCCTGCCCCCCAGACTGACCTCCCCCTTGCCCCTAAGCCCCTGCCAAGATCATCTCCTTCGGAGGCACCGTCACCACGCCGTGGATGAAGGACGTGAGGCTGCCGTGCAACTCCGTGGGGGAGCCGGTCCCTGCCATCAAGTGGACCAAGGACAGGTACTGAGGGTGCTGCCAGCTGTGCCAGGTGCTGTGCCAGGTGAATCACCCCTGCTGTGTCCCCGTGGCTGATGTGCCCTCCCCTCTCCTGCAGCGAGGACTCTGCCATCCCGGTGACGGTGGATGGCCATCGCCTGATCCAGGCCAACGGCACGTTGGTGCTGCGCTCGGTGAAGGCAGAGGACTCTGGCTACTACACCTGCACGGCCACCAACACCTGGGGCTTCGACACCATCATCATCAACCTGCTGGTGCAAGGTGAGGGTGGCTGCTTGGGGTGGCTGGCATTCCCATCTCTGTGTCTGGACACAGGTGCCCTGCATGGGGCATCATCATGCTCCATCACCACTGCCCAGTGGTGGGTGAGGAACCACAGGGTCTATTCCCTGGCTCACACTGACTCAGGGCTGAGTGGGAGGTCTCATTGGCATTTTTGGTGGGCACTGTTTGTGGCACTTTGTGTGTGTGAGGTGCTCATGAGCTTTCCCTCTTCCCCAGTGCCCCCGGACCAGCCTCGCCTGACCGTCTCCAAGACCTCAGCATCGTCCATCACTCTGGCCTGGATCCCTGGGGACAACGGGGGCAGCTCCATCCGAGGTAGGGCTGCTGTGTGAGATGGGGCTGGCAGCAGCATCTCAGCCCAGAGCCGTGGGTGCCTCTGCTCTTGGGAGCCAAGGCTCACAGAACATGTTTTCAGGCACATCCCTGCAACCTGTGCCACATTTTCTCTCTGTGGCTCAGTTTTCCCCCTCTCCAAAATGCCTTGGAGATGCCCCAGAGTAAGGTGGATGCTTCTGAGCTCCTAGCAGGGCCCAGGCCCAGGGAGGGGCTTGTGGGGTGTTTTGAACAAGCTGCAGAGCCTGAGGTAGCTAAGGAAGAGCATATCAGTAGGAGCTCAGGCACAGTGGCCAGGGCCAGCCCCAGGGCTGCTCCGTGTCTCCTGGCATTGGTGCCACTCTGAACCCACCAGGGCAGGAGCTGTCCTCCATCCCTGTCAGGCTGGGGATTTCAGGAGGGCTCCAGGAGCATCCCAGCTTTCCTGAGCCTCCTTTCTGCTCTGATTCATCTCATGAATTATACGTTGAAGCAGCTGCACACGGAGGGGGGAGCGAGGAAGGAGACCTCGCTTACAATTAATTAAAAGCATGAAAGTAATTACAAGCAAATCTCCCCAGCCAGCAGCCTTTCACTCCAGCGGACTCTGTTGATAAATTTGGTTATAATTGGATTAGAAATATTAAAAACATGCTGCATGTACAAAATAAATAACTAACCAGTGGCAGGCACCAGGGTGCCAGGCACTGGGGGCACTGTTGGGGCTGGTGTTGGCATGGCTGGAATCCTGTGCCCATAGCTTTGGGAAGGTCCTGGTATCACCATCCAAAGGGAAGCCTCAGGGCTGAGCAGGTTTGGGAAGTGCCCCTACCCTTAGCACTGCTGTGCCTGAGCCAGAGAGCCCCTTGCTGTGGGTGCTTTGGCATCACCACCCAGGCCCTGGTGGTGTTGACACCAGAGTGGTCCCGCACGCTCTGCGCTGCGCTCGTGACGCACGCGCCGAGGCAGAGAGCCTACTCTTCCCTGCTAATTTTATTTGAGAATTGGCAAAATAGCCTGCAGAAACAGCCAGATCTCTCAGTGCCCCAGGAAAGCTTGGTCAGCACGGTCGGGGCAGCAGGGATGTGCTGTCCTGGGGCAGCAATGCCCTCGGTGCTGTGTCCCTCACCCCCAGCCCCGTGCGGGCACGCGGCTCTTCCCGGCAAGCCCAGACCAGTCGTCTCTGGGCATCTTGTTGATGGCAGCGTAACAGGTTTGCTCATCTAGGACACAGTGTGCTTCCTAATACTCCTCATCACGGGAGAGGGGGCGGCGTGCAATGACAGAAGCAACTTCCCTGCAGCTTCCCGAGGGAGCTAGTTAATTCTGGCTTTCCCTTTATAGCCTCACACCAGTCAATCACCGCGTGCGCTCCCGTGTGGAATCGAGCAGTGGAGCCGTGCTGGGGTGGGCAGTGTGTGACTGGGGGCTCTGGCAGAGTCTCAGGAGGTGCTGGGAGTGCCCACACTCCTCTGGTCCGTGGCTGGTCCTGGGTCTGAGTGGTGGGCAGAGCTGGCAGTTCCCACCGGCACTCGTGAGCGTGCGGTGGGGCAGGAATCAGTGCGTAAGGTGTGCCCTGGTGCCACAAAGCTGCATTGGGCTTGGGCGTGGGATGTGCCAAGGTGGGCACAGGGTTTCACCCCTTTTCCTGCCCTCACCTCCCCCAAGCAGCCCGTGTGCCTGGAGGTGACCACCCTGTCCTTGCTCCCACAGGCTTTGTGCTCCAGTACTCGGTGGACAACAGCGAGGAGTGGAAGGATGTGTTCATCAGCTCCTCTGAACGCTCCTTCAAGCTGGAGAGCCTCAAGTGTGGCACCTGGTACAAGGTGAAGCTGGCGGCCAAGAACAGCGTCGGGGCCGGGCGCATCAGCGAGATCATCGAGGCCAAGACCCATGGCAGAGGTGAACGTGCCCCACATATCCTCACCCTGCTAGGGGACACAGTGCTCCCCTCCCCTCCACGCCCCTCCTGACTGCTCCTCTCCCACAGAGCCCTCCTTCAGCAAGGACCAGCACCTCTTCACCCACATCAACTCCACGCACGCCAGGCTGAACCTGCAGGGCTGGAGCAGCGGCGGCTGCCCCATCACTGCCATCGTCCTGGAGTACCGGCCCAAGGGCAACTGGGTCTGGCAGAGCCTGCGAACCAACAGCTCCACCGAGGTCTTCCTGACGGAGCTGCGCGAGGCCACGTGGTACGAGCTGCGCATGAAGGCCTGTAACAGCGCCGGCTGCGGCAACGAGACCGCGCAGTTCGCCACGCTGGACTACGACGGCAGTGAGTGCAGGGGGACACACGGGGTGGGCACACACTGCCTGGGGGGCCCGGAGCACTGACCACCCACCCTAACCCTAACCCTAGGCACCATCCCCCCGATCAAGTCTGCCCAAGGGGAGGGGGATGACGTGAAGAAGCTCTTCACCATCGCCTGCCCCGTGATCCTGGCCACGCTGGGAGTGGCTCTGCTCTTCATCATCCGCAAGAAGAGGAAGGAGAAGCGGCTGAAGAGGCTTCGAGGTGAGATGGGGCTCAGAGGTGCAGCACACTGGGCTAGGCCGTGTTCCTGGGCTGCCTCATTGTGCCCTAAATGGCTCCTTTAAAAAAACTTCCTTGTTTTGTTTTTTTTCCTCCTGCACAGATGCCAAGAGTTTAGCTGAAATGCTGATCAGGTGGGTCTCAGAGCTGCCGGTGCTGGGTGGGGAAGCAGGGGAATGCTGGGTGCTGGGAGTGGTCCTGGATGCTGTTCAGCCCTGACTCAGTTTCAGACCCGCAAAGTTTGTGTCGCTGGCTCTGTAGCGCAGCAGCCTGGTGCTCCTGGCTGCTCTCGCCTGCTGGAGGGTCCCAGTACCCACTCTGGAGCTCACCTGGGCAGAGCTGAGCCCCAGGTGTGCTGGCTGGAGGCAATCCCAGGCTGGAGCCGCCGGGGCTCTCTCCGGTAATGGCCGGGTCTGCGTCCCCTCTTACCTCACAGCAAGAATAACCGCAGCTTTGACACGCCGGTGAAGGGTCCCCCCCAGGGCCCCCGACTGCACATCGACATCCCACGCGTGCAGCTCCTCATCGAGGACAAGGAAGGCATCAAGCAGCTGGGTGAGCACCGCAAACCTCCCACCCCCGTGT